AAGTTCAAAAATCTAACAAAGTTCAATTCATACCTCCAAATCTACATTACATAACAAAGTTCAAAAAAAATTATATAACAATGAATTCAACATCAACATTCAACACTTCATACATATTCACATTACACAACAAATCAATTCAAAAATGAATTCCTAATTTACAAAATCCAATTTTCTATATTGTAAACCCTAAAATGAAAAATGAGATAAATTAGAGATACTTGTTTACCTAGAGTGTTGAAGAGGATGTAAGTGAAGTAGTATTGACAAGATAGGGAGGCCTCGCTTGAGTTTCGCCAGTCTTGGAACCTGTTTTCGCCGCTCGTCGCTCGTCCTCGTTCGTCCTCGTCGCGGTGCTTTTGGGAAGGGGGTGCTGTTGCTGTTCTGTCTGTGGTGTAGCTTGACCTGGTGTTTTAATTTAAGGGTAAGTCGCCAAACGGTTGTGCGACTTATAAGTCGCCAAACCGGATGGCGACTTATAAGTCGCCCAACCGTTTGGCGACTTACCCCGACCATGATTAATTCGAGCAGTATATAGGTAAATACTTTTCACCCAACATTATTTTCGTAATTAATTAAGTAATTAGCATTAATTCAAAAAAACTCCTTTTCCTCAATTTTCTCTATTTTTTCGACTTGGGCTTCCTGTCTAATACTCCGTGTAACTTATTTTTGTAAGTTAGATGAATTCAGGCAATTAATTAATATCTCTTATCTACTCCAATTATTTTGGACTACAGGCATATGATTTCCCTGTTTTTGTTTCTCAAGATATTTTCTAGTGTTGTGTTTAAGTATACACAAACAATTATAGTTGCATTTTTTCCAAACTAAAAATCGAAATTAAACTGGAGATCCTGAGTTTGAATCTCATTTCTATTAGGTTTGGTTGTTATTCTATATATATAGAATAAGGATCAAATGAGAAAAGTGTTTCTCGTAAGAAGTGAGAATGCATCTGGTGCGTTCATTTTAAGATCTGTGCATCAGATTAGCAAAAGAGTGAACGGGAAAGTGCAAAAAATATTTAAAAAGTGATGCTAGACGCGGTGTCATTTCCGTAATTAATCGGAACTTTTCTGCCATCGCAAAAAGTGCATCAGATTAGCAAAAAGGTGCATCAGAAATAGGTAAATGTGTAACTTCTCACTTCTCACGTTAAGATGTCTTCTCATTACAACCCGACCATATATATATATATATAAAGCGCCAATAGCGTTAAATTTCGTCCATCTCAACCAAACACAGATTACTACCCTGATATGCCAATCTCAAGTGGAACGAGCTGTATGAGTTATGATGGTGAGTTTTACTTTGATTTGATATGTAACATGTAACACATTTGTTGTCCTACTTACTAAAAGAACTTTTCTTAAAAAAAAAAACTGCTGCAATTTTAGGCTTTGTTGAGTTATTAATTTGCTAACTATTTGGTTATCTAAATCTGATTCTTCCATGTGGAACCTCAAACTAACTGGTTCTAAAACAAGCTCCTTGCATTGGCTTCTTTCTGCATCGGGTGATGTTTTCTTCCATCTGCTAATACTTTGAGGATTCATAGCTGTAAATTGCCCTTTCTCGTCTCATGTTTAGCTTTTGAATGGTTATATTTTCATTCCTGATTTTTGTATTAATTTGGGGATATGTTTGACATTTTTGGGTGTATTTTTCTATTACTCTTGACTTAATAGAGTTAATTTAGATATTTGGTGGCAAAGTAAATTATTCAAAAACGTTCCCATGATATCAATCCATCCTTGCTTGCCTAGCTAAGCCTTTAACACAGTTGCTCTGTTCATTTCTGCTAGAAGGTAAACCATAATCAAATTTGACCTTGTATGACATCTTTTATTTGGATTCAATCTATGATACGAAACAAATTTGTATATTTCCTAAAGTCTAATTTGGTCAAAATTCTTAAAATATATTTCCTTGATGATGCTTTTTTCACTAGTGGAAAAACGTCAAACAGAGGCGCTTCATTTGAGACGCTTTTCATCACAAGCGCCTCTGTTCAACGATTTTTTTTGCACTCAAGTGCGGTGATTTTACACATTAAACGCCTCCAATTCTTTTTAAAAAATAAGTCAATTTGCGGCGCTTTATTGTGATAAGCGCCTCTAAATAATTTTTCGGTTTTAATTTTTTATTTTTATGCTATACGTGCGGCGCTCCCTATTACGAAACGCCTCTAATGGTCGCAGTTGATTTGTAACCCTACCAATTCACTGCGCGCGAGCAGAAACGTTTCACATTAGCAGCGGCGGCCGCACACCTACGTACTGAACTGAGGAAGGACGACCATACTCGCCGCATCTTCTATCGCCACCGGTGTCCGCTCACCGTCGATTGCCTCTCGTCTCTGTCACTGCCGCTCGTCTGCTCATCTGCTGCCCCGGCTCGCCGGAGCTCGTCTGAACTGACCAAACTCTCCGTCGCTACTCCGGCTCGCCACTCCTCGTCTGAATTGACCAAACTCTCCGTCGCTGCTCCGGCTCGCCGCTGACTGTTACGGCTCACCGCGTGACTGCTCCGGCTCGCCGTCGACTGCTCCGGCCCGTCGTCGCATAGATAAAGGTCAATTCTTTTTTTTATTTACCTTTTTGATTGATTTCACTGATGCTCACACGATCAACGGAAAGCCTGGTCAATCGAATAGCTATGGCCTGTGGAACTAAAAGTGAAAAGTATTCTTCTAAAAAAATCACATGGTCAACGTGTAAGCATTATACACTTACATTAGTTTCTTATATTTATTTTCGAATTGACCACAACTAACCATGAAGCATTAATCAAAGTTTAGTTGAACTTTGTTGTTGAATTTTGTTAGAGTGCATATAATGCCATTATTATTAAAATTACTGTTATTATTATTTGAAAAGTATAGAATATTTGCTTTAGTTGCTAAAGTATTCTAATGCACTTAGCAAATAAAATATATTGTTTATTGTACATTATATGATACGTAGTATATGATTATTGCTAAAAAAATTATATGCACATTTTATGATATATGATTATTAGACAAATGTAGAATTCCTGTCAAGATGGATCGTTCTTGGATGTATGGTCGTCGAGACACTTCTGAATTTTTAATTTGTGCGAATAGGTTTATCAAAGCTGCCGTTACATACCAAAAACAACAAGGACATACAGGAATTTTATGTCCTTGTTTAAGGTGCCGAAACTTGAGAAGAGAGAGTGACGCCAACGTTATACTTCAACATCTGTTTGAGAGAGGATTTAGAGAAAATTACATCATTTGGACATTATATGGAGAGACTTGCCAGAATAATGAGAATGTTGTTTTGCGAGCCGCCGCTAGTAATTTAAAGCGCACAGCTCTCGATACTACCACCAATTCCAGTTGGAACAGTGGCGGTAATGGGGATGCTGATTTAAATGATGCATCATTTAATGATTTTTTGAAGGATATGCATGATAATTTTGAACTACAACCAAAATCATATGAATGTATGGTTGATGCCGCCAGAATACCTTTGTATTTTGGCTCTACTTTTACCAAGCTGTCCGCGGTGTTGAAATTATTTCATTTGAAAGTGAAACATGGATAGAGTAATGTCAGCTTTACAGAGTTATTGACATTAATTCAAGAGATGTTGCCCGAAGGGAATACACATCCTGATACAACTTATCTTCAATTGAAAGCAAAAAATGGATGGATTGTTGCAAATTGTCCAAAGGTTGATAGAGGCTATATCTTCAATTCATTGCCAAGTTCATCCCATATTGCTATTCAAAAGGTTTTGACGATGTATGTTTTTTATGATTTAGTTGCGATCTTTAACATTAATGTTTTTATGTCGATATTGACCATCTACGCATGTGTATATATTGAGTTGGCATTGTAGGATGTATAGGGTTGCTTCTGCACAAAAGGGTCGAGACAAATCAATTAGGTGGCATGACATCAAGGTACATTTGATGTGATATCTACTATTATTTATATATATATTATTTATGCCTTAGTTAAAAAAAGAGTTATTTGAAAGAATTATATTATTATGTAATAATGTTGTATATTTTTCATCAATTTAAAGTGTGCAAGGCAAACATGCAATACAAAATGTGGGTATTATGCCATGAAGTTTATGTGGGAAGTAATATCTTATGTTGGAAGTTCAGATAATGGACATGTATTTTATTTATATACTTCAACAAGTGGTTTTCACAAAATAACTTATTTATATATAAGTTAGTTTAACATTATCCATTTTATTTATGTTCTTATCAATACTTTCAGATTTGGAATTCAAGAACTCAACCATATTCGAAGGAAGAGTTTGATGAAATCAGAAATGTGTGGGCTAGATTTTTTGTAGATGACATTATGAATATGTAGGATTTGTAGACATTTGAAGATGTTAATGTAATTTATTTTGATCGTGTTGGAATATTTGAACTTTTACGGAGTTGAATTCTGATTGTACGTTTAATATGGAATTTACGAATGAATGTGCATGTAATGTATTTCAAGCGTTTTGTAAATAAAGCAGGATATTTGATAATTAAAAAAATTTGTTTTTTAAAAAATTGAAATTAGAGGCGCTTTTACATTTTAGAGGCGCGTGTAATGTCAAAAGCGCCGCAAATGATGATGTAAGTTGTTGGGCGTGCGGCGCTTATTGTATACAAAGCGCCACAAATCTTCGAATTAAAAAATTAATTTTAAAAAAATAGGAGACGCTTTTACGTAAGAAGCGCCTTCAATCCAGCGTTTGCGGCGGAATGATCGGAGGCGTATCGAAGCGCCGCGTGCACCTGTTCAGAAGCACGTCTAATCTCCGTTTTTCCACTAGTGTTTAAGTAAAAAATATTGACCTCTTGACTGCTCCCTACCTTTCTTCATCTTCAAATATCCCGTTTTGTATGTTTTTTATTAGGTTAGCTATAAAACCATATGAACAATTTCCATGCCTTTAAAATACCAAATACCTGAAAAGGCCAGGATCTCTTTCATTTTTTACCAACTTGTATTTAATTACTTAGTTTTTCGAATTGGTGATAGGAATAAAATAATAACAAAAACAATAATAGTTGCAAAAAAATAAGAAAAGGAATTACTCGGATGTTCAACTGAAGTGGATTATTGTCATTATTTACTCTGCAGTGTGCATTATTATGATTACTCCGTCTTATTGTTATTCGATTAATTCCATACAATAGAATTCCGAACGAAAGCAAAGCAGTGAAAGCACACATATGCTTCCTTCAATCACTCGAAAGGGTACGAGCCATCCACAGGCATATCTGTGGTATCGTACCATGGATATGGCTTCTTCCCCTTATTGCTTGCTTCCAATATCTCATCACTTGAAAACGCCGGTTTCGATTTCCGGAGAACAATTGGATTTGCACCATTTCGAGAAGACTCCTACAAAGTAATAAATAAATTATAACGCAAATTAAAAAAGAAATTGCTCCTAACATGCATAAGTAGAAGGGAAAATTCCCGAAATAGGAGTAAAAAAGTTTGAAAATTCCAAAATAGGGCTGTCATGCTTTTATTCCCAAAATAGGAGTAATTTCTGCAAAGTTTCGAAAATACTGCCATGTTTAAAGTTGCAGGTAATAACTACAACATCGTGATTGGTGCATGTGGACAAAAGTATGGTATCTTAAGGGTAACATAGAATCTACCATATTTAAAGTTGCAGGTAATAACTACTCACCAGATCAGCATGCATCTTCTTGACAAATTTTGTGAAGAGTTGGAAGTTATCATCTTTTAAAAGATCATCTGATAAACGAAGGTAGGTAAAACCAGACATCTTCAGCTTAGGGGAGGAATTAAGGTTGACCCCATTTGGTCTCGCATTCAAAAGTATTTGATCATAGGCTTGTTCGTCATATCTTGCCAACGCGCTCTCACCCGCCATATCAATCAACTCCTTCCATCCGCTACTTAACACCTATAATAAATTACATAATAATTACAACAACACGCAAGTTTTAGTCTCAAAAGTTTTAGTCTCAAAAGGTTTTACTTAACATGAACCGATACACGATATCAGAGCCAAAAAGAAAACCTGCTGAACAAGTTCTTGTGGCCCACTCTTGGCTTCAGCGGGTTGGTCGGAGTCTCTCATCTCAAGACATGTGAAGTTCATAGAGGCATGATGGCGAGCTAGCATCCTCGCTATGGTCCGGTATCCGTCCCGTCCCTCAAGGTTGTAATATCCAGCTGTTAGCTCAGCTGCATGGCTAGAGTCTTTGTACCACCAATGGATTCCTGAAACCTGCATTACCAAATTCATTATATATATTCTCAAGAGTGATCCTCCATTTGAACGTAAGATGTTTTTATCTAATTTGATCTGAATTCGTTAGATTTGGTCAATTGTAAAATTAATTTTAGACAAATTTTGTACAATTATTATTGTGTTTTGGTACCGGGTCAATTCAAAGAATTATACGTTTGAGATGGACAACAAATCATCCGAATTGAATATGACTCCTTACCTGGCTACAAATCGTATATACATACATGTGCAATTCGTTTAAAAAAGAGCAAAATTTTATGCCAAAATGTCTGTGTACACAGGTAGTGTACAGTTTGTGTGTACACCAAGAATTACTCAGCTCAAATTATGTAAAGGACTCTTCATACAACTCAAATTCTAGTAAGAATCAAACCAACAACTTCTGCCTTGGATAGATGAGCCTAGGCTCATGAAGCGAGCACTTCTACAAATGACTTGTATGCAATGAGCCAATGAAAAAGCTATACGACTCAACCTTGTAATAAATATATTCAAATGATTAAGGAAATAAAATGAAAACAAATATGCTCAAGGAAGAGAAAAGAAAATAAGCAAATCAAATGCTTTAATTTGGAATAATTGAGATTCAATGCCCAAGAATTATATCTACAATTTAAGTGTTTAGACAAAAATTATGAATCCGCGAATGATAGAAAAAGTAAATGCTAGATACCCTGTTTGGAACTCATTCAAATACAATTGATCGCAATTTAGTCAAAGCTATTAAGAAAATTAAAAGTCAAGGAGAAAAAATCGACGAAAATAATATGCAAAACGTATAATTCTTTGATGTAATTATGTGAATGCGTTTTTGAGATGGACAACAATAAAATAATATTATTATTGTTATTATTACTGTTATTATTTACATATTCCACATCTAACCGTTCCTCGGGGACCTTCATCCATCTCATTCTTAATACGTGTGGACTTAGGTCTTCCCTTAGCGCGAACCATGGATGGATCATGCACAATTTCAGGTCCGTAGTAAGTCGGCCAATAATCACGGTGTGGAATGGGTTTAAAGACTTTGATATGTGGCGGCGTATTGTTCAGATGAGAAAAATGGATTCACAAATGGATGAGAAGACAAACTACGTTATACACATATGCTTCCCATCAACATGATGATTAACAACAAAAGCTTCAAAAAGACCATAAGCTTGAAAACCAAATTCATAATCTTCATTAAAACAATACAACCAAATTCAACAACCAAATCAGTACCCACATACATCCACACAACACCTAAACATCTGCTACAGAAAATGACAATTAACTCAAAAAGCACTCTTACTGAGACATTTTATCAAACACATGACAACCTTACACACCTAATATATCCTACTTCCCAGCAAGATGATAACAAACAACCCGAACCACACTACATTCCAGGAGAAAGTCCCATTGCCTTTCTTTGACATCTTAAGTTCCTCTTCCATATTTTGGAATTTCAAAAGACTAATCCCACGAACACAACTCTTGATTTTAGCTTGCATCTCTAATTCTTTCATTCGGAAATTCTCTTCAACACTGGTAGTCTTCTGGAGCAAGGTCTCTATCCGTCTCAGGCAAGTACCACATTCTTCATCCTCAACCCATTCAAAGAAATTGCACTTGTTTTTGTCTGTTGTAGCAGTCCACACTGGTGCTTGGAGTCCACGGTCACACCTCTTAATTCGCCTTCTTGCTTCCATCGACCATGACTCAGCACTCGAAGAACTCATCGCCATCTTACTCCCCTTTCTTTATTTCCTTCACCGACGTCTTAGGACTGCCTTAAACAAGAGGCTGAAGGGTTTTAATAATTAAGCAGAAAAGAAAAACCACGTGTATATGCGTAAAAGAACCATTTCAAATTTAACCAAATAAATGATGCCACATCAGCCCAAACTAACGTCGTAAGGGCCGGTGCCCCGGGTGAGATAACGGAGTGAAATCACGCGCCCGTGTTTGTCAAGAAATGAAACTCATGCCCCAATTGAAAACACCCCAAACCACAAGTACGTTTACTGTAGTTTTTCCAAAAAATTAATACATTCTAATTTTTGAGTTTTTTAGCATTAATAAAGTTCAAAAATCTAATAAAGTTCAATTCATACCTCCAAATCTACATTACATAACAAAGTTCAAAAACAAATTATATAACAATGAATTCAACATCAACATTCAACATGATAGAGTATATCTAGAGAGAAGTGAGAGCTAGAGAGAGAAGTGCAATAATATGCTTCAATAGAATGAATTTTTTGTAACCCCTATAACTACTCCCAAAGGGAGTATTTATAGAGAAAATTAGTGTTGGGCTCCCAAGCCTTGGGCTTGGGAGGCCCATTTACAACTGGACCGCTACTGGGCTGAATACAAAGCCACTAATGGGCTGTACAAATGAGTAAGTGTAAAATCCAATTCTGGGAGGTCTTCGTGGCCGACGAGGGCGTGGCCGACGAGGGCACGGCCGACGAGGACACCCGGGTTCCTTGGACTCAGGACCATAATCCGAGTTGGCCCCTTTTCGGCCGACGGGGGCGTCTTGGCCGACGAGGGCGCCACTCTGTTGTCTTGTGCTTTCTGTTCTTCCGAGTATGTGGGTCCGGGGGCTCAGACCCATATACTCCATCAGGAGTCCCCCACTCTCTAAGCTGAGACGTAGACGAAGTGAAGGAGAGTAGATTCCTATGCTTTGTTGCCCTTGGTCGTTACCTGTTCCTTGTTGTGGACAGGGAGGCCGTTGTTTACTTGATGTCTTCGTTTTGGGACGATGAGTGTCCTTTTTTCAATGGTGGCCGTTGAAGGCACATTTTGCTTGGGCGCTGATGGTTGAGGTTTACCTTTGGGCCGATGAGGCCGTTGAGGTTGCTCCCTTTGAGGACGATGGCGTCCTTTCCTTTGGGTGGCCGATGAGGGTGCTTGCGCACTTCTTTTGGCCGTTGTTGATGATGTTATGTGCTTCTAGCCGACGAGGTGCCATTGTGATGCGTGGACGATGTGGCCATGCTTTGTGGTTACATCCATGTTCTTTGTTTTGTTGAGGCCGATGTAGTCCCCCAGTCCCCCACTGCTTCAGGCCGAAGAGTGTGAGGGGTGAAGGAGTTGCTTGAGTCCCTGGCCGAAGCGGCCTCGCCGTAGTCCCCCTGAATCCAACCCTCATGGCGATTTTCTGGCCAACGTAACCCTGTGGGAGAACCCTTGTGCGCAGATCGCTTGTAGAGAGTTATCATCAAGGGTTAGTATGAGGAGCCGATGGCTGTGGGCTCTTTGTTCATTTGTTCTGTGGCCGTTACATTCCTGGCCGTTGCCATCTCCTTATTGTTTGGCAGTTGTGATCTTGGTAAGCAAATGGGACGTTATGGGCGCTTGCTGGTACTTGTGAAGCCGGCGAGCGTGTAGGCCGTAGAGTCTGATTTGCCAGTGGGCCGTTGATATAGGTTGGGCCTGGCCCATTGGTGACGTGGTGGCCTCCCATTGGTGACCGCTGATGTGGCCATTGGGAAGGTGCCACGTGTAGTGACCGTTGGGTGGGGGGGTTCTATAAATACCCCTTCCCCTCCGACGAGAAACCACATTTGCATTCTGAATTGTCGAAGTGCTGGCCATTTTTCTAGAGAGAAACTCCCAAGCTTGTTCTTCGTGTTCGTCGTTGTTCAAGGTTAGTGTTCATCGCCATCTTCTGTACTTTGTGCATACTTTGCTGCCTAGGCTAGCGATCTAGTGGAAGGCGCTCGAACACCCTTAGATCCTAAGTTGCTTCCCTTAGGCTCGTAGCAGTAGTTATGAAGAGCTTGAACGAAGACTACTACCCCTACGACGACCAGCCCTCCACGAGGTCACTTGACTATGAGGTGCTCGAGGAATTCGAGGAGGAGATACAACATTTGAGTCCTTACAAGTCCGAAGAGCTGATGGACGACGAGGTCGAGGACGAGGAGTCCGCCTCTTCTTCAAGGGGTGAGGACGCAGGTGCGTCCCGAGTGGTGGACGGGGCGTCCACTTCCGCTGTCATTCCGTGCCCGAGGCCGGTGTCCGCCGTTAAGGGAGCCGCCAAGCCGAAGAGAGTGAGGAGGCCGAAGAGTGGACCGGGCATCTCCTACCTGGATCTCACCAACATCTACCTGATCAAGCCGGAGAGCAGTGCGGCCGACTATCTTGTTGCCCAGATGTACGTGGGGCCGTTCGGGCGGGTTAGGGCACCCAGGCCGACGGACCATGTTCTTCTGCCACCACCGGGATACTTTGGAGTATACCCGATGAGTTTTGCTAAGGGGTTGAGGTTCCCCCTTCACCCTTTCATTACTGAGTACCTGGACATGGTAGGGCTTCCTCCAGCCTTGCTGACGCCGAACAACTACTCCTTGATGGTGGGGTTTTTGCTCCGGTGTGAGGAGTTGGGCTACCGGCCGACAACGGCACTATTCATGAATCTGTACCAGATCGGCCGAGGAAGCCACAAGAACTGTGCGGCCTATGCTACTCTTCAACAGCTGCCGAAGAAGAGGAGCTTCACGGATTTGCCTACGTCCATTCATGGGTGGAAGAGCAAGTTCGTGTTTGTGTCCATTGGTGAGAGTGGCACCGAGTTTCCCTCCCTCGGCCACACCGGGAGGTTTAACCTGCATGACCCGCCGAAGAGCTCTATTTTGGACGCTCAGGTGGAGGCTTTCTTGGAAGGGGGCCCGAGGAGTGTGAAGGAGTACATTACTGAGTACAAGATGACCGCCCTCGGCTTCTTGAGATACCATGTCTATGGTGACAAAGAGGATGACCTCCAACTCTGGCCGAGGATGACCACCACCTTTGAAGAGGCCGACGGCCCGGATTTGGGCATTCCTGCTGAGGCCGATGGTAATTCTTTCTTCGGCTTTCTGTCTTTATGTTTTGTTCCTTTGCCTTACTAATCTGTTTGTGTTTTTCCTTTGTAGACTTTGCGATGGATCGTCGTTCCATAATGGCTTTTGCCAAGGCCAAAGCGGCCGAGGA